AATAATAAAACTGATACAGCAGTGTAAAGAGTTATTAATAATAAAACTGGTACAGCAGTGTAAAGAGTTATTAATAATAAAACTGATACAGCAGTGTAAAGAGTTGTTAGTAATAAAACTGGTACAGCAGTGTAAAGAGTTATTAATAATAAAACTGATACTTTACACTGCTGAGTTGTTAGTAATAAAACTGGTACAGCAGTGTAAAGAGTTAACAATAATAAAACTGATACAGCAGTGTAAAGAGTTGTTAATAATAAAACTGGTACAGCAGTGTAAAGAGTTGTTAATTTTTATTATTAACAACTCTTTACACTGCTGTACCAGTTTTATTCTGGTACAGCAGTGTAAAGAGTTGTTAGTAATAAAACTGGTACAGCAGTGTAAAGAGTTGTTAGTAATAAAACTGATACAGCATTGTAAAGAATTGTTAATAATAAAACTGATACAGCAGTGTAAAGAGTTGTTAATAATAAAACTGATACAGCAGTGTAAAGAGTTGTTAATAATAAAACTGATACAGCAGTGTAAAGAGTTATTAATAATAACTGGTACAGCAGTGTAAAGAGTTGTTAATAATAAAACTGGTACAGCAGTGTAAAGAGTTGTTACTAACAACTATTTACACTGCTGTACCAGTTTTATTACTAACAACTCTTTACACTGCTGTATCAGTTTTATTACTAACAACTCTTTACACTGCTGTACCAGTTTTAATACTATACAATTCTTTACACTGCTGTACCAGTTTTAATACTATACAATTCTTTACACTGCTGTACCAGTTTTAATACTATACAATTCTTTACACTGCTGTACCAGTTTTATTATCAACAATTCTTTACACTGCTGTACCAGTTTTATTATCAACAATTCTTTACACTGCTGTACCAGTTTTATTATTTTTTATTATTAACAACTCTTTACACTGCTGTACCAGTTTTATTCTGATACTTTACACTGCTGAATTGTATAGTATTAAAACTGGTACATCAATCTGTTATAAGTTAAAAACTCTTAACCTAAATTACTGTGTCATTTATTAAAAACTGTTTGTTATGGATTAGTTGTTGAAGAAATACATATATTTGATGTCGTCTAACCAATCAAAGGGTACGTCATTCTAAACAAAACCAAAAAAGAATGATCTAAATAAATATTTGAACATTTTCTAACAAATATATAATAAGTACATGTAATGACAGTAGGTGGTGTGAAAGGCTCATTTGTTTATCTAACATGAGTAATATATATAAAGTAACATGGTTAACATATATATTTAAAGTAACAACATGGGTAACATATATGTGTAACATGACAACTTTAAAACTCTACTTTCAATATGTGAGTGTAGGAACATTGAATTTTTATCACTAATGCAATAAAAAAATTTTATTGTAGGTAATGAAAAGACGAAGTCAAGTACAGTTGGCCATTCGGTATTGTCAAGTTCGGACAGTGAAAATGGATCTTCTCATGCTAGAAGACATCAAGATGGTTGTGAAGACCTTTTTACAGAAAGATTTTCCCAATTGCATACTTCCATATTGGAAAGTTCTGATGAGAGGGTCAGTGTATTTACACAACAAAATATGAAGATAAATAATCCTCAGAACATAAAGCGGAAACTCACAAGTGATGAGACTGTTGTAAACAAACCTCTAACAGCATATAATAAAGTAGATAACAGACCCGAATCTTTGTGCCAAAATTCTAGTGATAAATGTTTAGAATCAGAAACAGAGACTGGAAAGAAACAAGGAATGAGATTAGAACTGTCTCAAAATGTGGAAAAAGACGAATCATCCCTTCGGCATGGCCAAACAACACCAACCCCAGACATAAGCATTAGTCCAACATCTACGAGCAGTTCTACTACCCCAACAACTTCGAACCGAGATCCTGATTCCTACCCCTCCACTCCTCTGGATTCAAACCCTCCCTCTCCGTTACAGAACTTGAAAAACAAGTTTTTGTTTGTTGAAAGTACACCCGAGACTGTTGCCCAGGCCCATAATCTAATTTTCCCAGAGACTCCTGGAAGCATAAGTGGCCAAAGTCCTAATAGATTGCCTAACAGGGGAAGCTCTTGTGGAGTCTTCTCTGTAGATCTAAGTACATTGAAGTTTATTCTTATATATCAAAATCACTCTAGTTTAATATTTATGTTTTCTCTATCTTACAACCTGAAAAGTATTTTATATTTTTCACTTAGAAAAGTTATAAAATGTCATTATCTCAAGTGGTTCTTATTTTTTTTTAATATTTAATTCTTAATAAGCCAAGTCTGTAATGTTTTTTCAAGTAATGCACAATAGTCTAAAATATTGGAGGAGTTCAGTTGACATCTCAATTCATACGATATCCTTTTTTTACATTTCCCCCTCACTACATTTTCCTTTTTCTTTGCTACATTTCCCCTTGTTTATGTATTTCAGTGACTATTAAAACTGCGGTAGGTCTAACATAATTGTTCTTTTAGAAGCAGAAAATAAGGTGTGTGAGACTTTAAACCCATCTCTTGTTTCCGTGAAACATCAGCTATTCACATTCATACGTTACTTTTATTCTAGTGTATTTCCTGTAAAGTCTACATTTGTGTGTATGTGTCACAACATTAATGATCCATCTGTTGTTTTAAATTATCCATGTATTGTTACTACATTTTGATGTATGTATCACAACATTAACATATGTTTTGTGACGTATGTGTTACATCATTAATTAATTGATCCATATGTATTGTTACTACATTTGTGTGTATGTGTCACAACATTAACATATGTGTCGTGACATTAACGTATAATTAAATGATCCATCTGTTGTTTTAAATTATCCATGTATTGTTACTACATTTGTGTGTATGTGTCACAACATTAACATATGTGTCGTGACGTATGTGTCACAACATTAATGATCCATCTGTTGTTTTAAATTATCCATGTATTGTTACTACATTTTTGATGACCACACTAAATAGTTTTTTCACTAATATTAATCCCATTACTGACTATGTTCACCCTTTTCAGCTATTGGGACATTATAATGTAATGATCAATCCCACATTTCATTGGTAAAATAATAGCCCAAGAGTTGACAGTGGGTGGTGTGGACTAGCTGCCTTCCCTTTAGTCTATCCCATTTAAATTATGAATGATTAATGCAGATGGTCATCGAGGAGATTTCAAGAAATTCAAAAACCAAACAGAACATTTCTCTGGTATTTCACTTGAAATATTTCTTCCATCAGTTAATATAAAAAGTTTTCATTGTTCTTATAAACCTGAGGAAAAGAGAGATTCATAATCTTGCATATCTATAAGCGGTTATAAGTGATACAAGTCTCTTTTAACTTTCTGTTTTCTTCAACTAACCTTCCTCCAGTTAGTGCAGGATGGATAAATCTCATCAGTTTACTTGTAGCTATCATAGTTTTTTTTTACTGACAGTAAGGGTCCTTCACATTGGCTTTTGTCAGTTTGTTATTGTAGAAGTTCAAGAAAAACATCTACGTACGGAGGTTGTACCTTTTGTCTAAACCCTAAACAGTGCCAGTTTTTAACTCTCACCATCTATTTTAAAATATCCATGGCTCCCTGTTTTATAATGATAATCCTTGAGTTTTATGTTTTCTCATTTTATTTTCAGGACTGGTTGCCTATTAAAGTCTTCCTCATATAGAGGATACAGCTGTGTCCTTTCCTTATGCGACTGTATCCAAAGTGGTACTGTTTCCGTGCTTTCTTAATATGAAGAATATTCACTTTAAAATATATATATATTATTTTAGTGCATTTTAGGTTTCAGTAGTGGCTTGGTGGTGGACAAACAAGTTAAAATATTAATGATCAATTAACAAGCAGTTGGAGCTTTTTAAGTATTTCTAATTAGGTTTAACATCTTCATCACAAAAAAATATATTTTTGTCAGAAATTCCCTCGGCTCATGATGAATGTATTTTCTGTGTTACAAAGTACAATTCTATGTGTAACAACAGATTTTTGGTTTATTTTAAAAGCTTATGAAGTTACAAACTGTACTAAAAAGTTAAAATGTAAGCTGTATCATTTCTTTCACTGAACAGGTTTGATGAAATCCCTCCGTCTTTTTCCTAACAATAAAGAGTGCACCTGTGGACAGTTGGTTATTGCAAGCAGAGAAAGTCAGTACAAGATTCTTCATTTTCACAATGGAGGGCTGGAAAAACTAGCTAGTGTCTTCGAGGAATGGGATTTTCTCAGTAAATCTAAAAAGGTTAGCCTTTGGTTGAGTAGAATGTAGGGAAGGAATAGTTATATGGAGTTCCATCTATAATATCAAGCACGTTGTGTGATCAACTTTCTTTAACCTGATATAAGTTATTTTTTCTGCTGGAGTGCCAGATTGAAGGATGTGCCTTGTTTTAGATAGTGGATCAAAGCTTTAGGGTTTTAGTAGCATCTGTTAATTATCATATATCTTGTTTGATTTTGTAGTTTCAATTCTTCATGTAAATACAGTCCCACATAGTGGTGAATACAAGTTTTAACAATTTCTTACATCTCTAATCTTTAACCAAGTTGTTAATTTAAAGTCAAACATTTGTTTCTCTTCGTAAAGTAATGTAACTTTTACTTGTTAAGGTAATTAGCTCAGTGTAGATGTAGTAATTAAAGTTTATGCAAGTTTAAAGTTTGTAGTGCAAGCTGGAGAGTTCTATTCATTGTTAAAAAGAGAAATAAAACATGACTTATTACCCCAGAAAACATAATTGGGTTTATTTAAGCCGACTTTTCACCATTATGGCTTCCTTGGGGCAAATAAGACATTTACTAACTAATTTAGGCTTATACAAAAGATTTCAAAATAATACAAGTCTGTGCAGTAAAGTGGACTTCACCTAAGAACATATAAGCAAGGAAGTACATGCAAATGGACAAGATTATACTATCTAAAGGAGACATATGTTATTACACTAATTAAATATAAGCAGTAAGAATTTAAAATTCCATGGTGATTTTTTCGTTTATTTGTGGCTTATTCTCTGAAATTAGTAGAGCTTATTTGTATCATGAATCACAACACCTTAAACAGTAAAGATTCAATTCAAACAACACTTTAAAACCTTTACTAATGACTGTTAAGGTTGTACACATGTAAAAATGTGCAAAAGGAAGAGAAAATCCACTCAAAGCAACCCATTTGTAATTCTTCTCCTTATTATTCTCTAGCCAGCCTACAAGAAAAATGGCTTGGTATCTGCACCCAAACACTTTATGAAATGCTAAATAAAGTACTGTGAAGGTCATAGGGGGGTATTGAAAAGTTGATTTGTTTCTTCTATATTTTACATAAACTAAAAACATCATAATTCTAGTGTAAACAATGTTATCATTATGCCTTGAAGTGAGCTTTGTTACAAATATTTGATGTTCCTTTAAAAAGCTTAAGTACAGGGTGAAACAGGAATTATCAGCCAATAAGAGATGAACATTACATGATTGTAATATGTAAGTACTCCATGCTTTGTACACTATCCAATCGGTGTATTTAGGGAGCCAACCGGTACATTATGTATGTAGTGAAAACTGTATTATCTAGCTATGTTTATTATCATTGCAATGTATAAAGTTAGCTGCCATATCAAGTAATCCATTTCACATAGTTGAGCATAAAAAAAAGGCAGCAAACCAGATAACTAAAATAATTGGGAATTTAAAAACCTGCAAATAGGGATCATAAAAAAGTAAGGAAACAAGGCTAGAGATACTGTAGACATTATTTACACGAACTACAAATAGGGATTGTAGAAAAGTAAGGAAACAAGGCTAGAGATACTGTAGACATTATTTACACGAACTACAAATAGGGATTGTAGAAAAGTAAGGAAACAAGGCTAGAGATACTGTAGACATTATTTACTCAAACTACAAATAGGGATCGTAAAAAAGTAAGGAAACAAAGCTAGAGATACTGTAGACATTATTTACTCGAACTACAAATATGGATCGTAAAAAAGTAAGGAAACAAGGCTAGAGATACTGTAGACATTATTTACTCAAACTACAAATATGGATCGTAAAAAAGTAAGGAAACAAAGCTAGAG